GCCCTGTAAAAAACTGACTAATTATGAATAAGTCAGAGAATTTTTCCAACTGGTTATTACCTAACTCACCTGGAAAGGACCGCCATTGATTTTCTTGTATGAGTCTTTTGCGTTTGCTTCAACAAGCAACATAACCTTTTTATAGTGACGCAACATCTAAATGAAAATTTCGTGTATCAGGGAAACAATAATGGAACAAGGTCGTTCTCTGCTCTTCAAGGACTTTATATATGGATCAGAGGTATCGGTGTGATATTTAAACAAGTATACGGAATTGAACCTGCTCAATCTGTTTGAAAACACGTCCATTATGGAGCGACTGCGAGAGATCGTCTAAAGCTTTACGCTCCACAGCAATGTCAGGCGTTAATATGTAGTCGCCAACCTCCAGTGTTGCTGGAACTAGGTCCGTACCTCTTTTATACAGGACGGTCGGCAATTCACTATTAAATTCTCTCATATCAATGATGACCTTTAACAAATTGGTAATAACAAGCTTCCAAAAAAGAACCTGTTTCAACACACTTAATAATGGATGGGATTACAATGAATTTTCAACTTACTTTTGGGTTTTCTTCTTGAGCTTCTTCAGTCTGCCCTCCGATAACGCGTGTAGATTTCACTAACTTTAATTTTGTGGGAGGTTCTCGAGCAGTTTCATATTCCCTTGGAATCATAAGCATCTGGAAAACTCCACTCTAATTAGCAACTGAAGCTGCATTGTAACACTTAAATCGAAGATTCTCTATCAAATGAAAATTAATTAAATAAAAAATTGTTTACTCCTTGTTCACGAATAAGATGTTCAAAAGCCAATTGCTCTCGGCGTAAAGAACACAGGTATCGCTCTTCTTCGTTCGATTCCGTGTACATCAGCACGTAGATACGCAGATCCAGCTCTGGATTACAAGCCTTGTGCATCTGAATGTGTCAGTCTTAATTAAGGTAACTTTAAAGAGTCTAACATGCCACTAATCTGCTGACTATGGACAAAGTCTATCAGACTCCGCAGCGCAAATAATAAATTAAACGAAAAATGAGAAAAAAAAGTTTTTACCTCCAACGTTCGAAGAGTGACCAAGTCGGAATGATACAGTATTACATCGCTTGGCCTTAAACTCTCTAGCTGTCGCAATAAGTTATAACGTTCACCCTCAGGAAGTATCAGTAAAAGTGGATAGAGACTTTCATCTTGTACCGTCTCCTCATCTTCATTTTTCTCTTCATCAACTACTGCTTCAGTGCTAGATCCAGGTTCTCCGGCAATTTCTACATCCTAAACACTTCGCACTTTCTTTAAAGAAGTCCCTGAGCAAGGAAAAAAGAAAACTTTTATAAAGATTAGTTTTAAGGTGAAAAAGACCCAACACGAAAATCTCCAAATAATACAAAAATTACAAACAAGTAAAAGTGAATATTGTGTGAGTATCAATAATACTGTAGATGCATTTTTATCATTAATCATTGATTCATTTAAAAACCAGTACTGAACAAAAAATGTCTGAGTTACTGCTGCAGCAACTAGAAGTCGAACTGAGTGGAAAAAAAGATATACGAGCAGCATTGTTTGTGAAGAATAAAAAATTTAAGGCAGCTTACATCTTACGTGACAACTGACGTTAGCTAAAAGGAAAATTTCGTTTTATTACTGGCTCTATGCGTAAAAGCCTAATCATTGACATTTCATTACGGAGAAGGGTATAAAATACACTGTGCTAAATGTTAAAACAAAAGTGATTTTTCTTTTTAAGATACCATAGGAATGTAAACTTTTGACTGACAACAACTTTTGAGTCCAAAATACACTTCCATGCAAACTAATTTTCAGTTAGAATGCAAATGGAAATTTTTTTTTTTGAAACTGCCACTCATTTTCTCAAGTTTTGAGTGGCGGAATTTCTAATCTCCACCGTCACATTCACAATTACGAGGAATGTCCAAAGCCAACTAATTGAACATAACTGACTACAGCAGTAATGCCAGGATGATTGAGGGCAAAAAAAAGAGCAGATAAATCCGAGAGAGGAGAGTAATACGGGGATGCCCTTGGATACATGGGCAATGCAAGCAGCTTTGCCTGCTCCCAGCAAGTAATATGGACCGACAGTGTCACCAAACAATATTGCTTGCGGACGTCTGCACTGCCGATGCTCACTTCACCTTCAAAGTTTTAATTCGATCGTTTATCGCTTTTTACATCAAATGCTCATCTTTTTAGAACTGTATTATTGGGTTTATTTCAGCCCGGGACTTGAAAACCATTCACAGCGGAAGAATTTGTTATATTCTGCTTTTTTTTTTTTTTTTTTTTTTTTTT